CAGTGTTCTCTGCCGGACCTCAACCACGACCATCCACGCCCAGTGTTCCCTGCCGGACCTCAACCACGACCATCCACGCCCAATGTTCCCTGCAGGACCTCAACCACGACCATCCTCGCCCAGTGTTCCCTGCCGGACCTCAACCACGACCATCCACGCCCAGTGTTCCCTGCCGGACCTCATGTAGGAAGATATGGGACAAAGAATGCGCAGAAGAAAGTTAGAAAGAATGTCAGACAGAATGTCAGAAGATATGCCAGATAGAATGCCAAATAGAATGCCAGATAGAATGCCAGAAGATATGTCAGAATATATGCCAGAAGATATGCCCCCCCCCCGCCACCCCCCCCCCCCTCCTCCCCCCACCCCCCCCCCACCCCCCCCCCTCCCCCCCCCCCCCCCCCCCCCTCCCCCCCCCCCCCCCCCCCCCCCCTCCCCCCCCCCCCCCCCCTATAGAATGCCAGATAGAATGCCAGAAGATTTGCCAGATAGAATGCCAGAAAATATGCCAGAAGATATGCCAGATAGAAATGTAAGAAGATATGCCAGAAGATATGCCAGAAGATATGCCAGAAGATATGCCAGAAGATATGCCAGAAGATATGTCAGAATATATGCCAGAAGATATGTAAGATAGAATGCCAGAAGATATGTCAGAATATATGCCAGAAGATATGCCAGATAGAATGCCAGAAGATATGTCAGATAGAGTGCCAGAAGATATGCCAGATAGAATGCCAGAAGATTTGCCAGATAGAATGCCAGAAGATATGCCAGAAGAGATGCCAGATCATATGCCAGAAGATATGCCAGATAGAATGCCAAATAGAATGTCAGAAGATATGTCAGATAGAATGCCAGAAGATTTGCCAGTAAGAAAATGTATAAATGTCATGGTGGGGATCACACGAAGTAAAGTAATTTTTACTTTTTATAAACTGGATGGTGGTTTGGAACATTTTTATGTTTCTATATAATTATTGGGAACCATCATCAACTGACTAATATTTTTCAGAGGGGTTCAAACCACCAACCAGTATATTTATACATGTTTATCCAATGTATATCCCTATGCTTCCATTCTTGTTGTTTCCCCGCCTTCCTGGCGTCCCAGGTGCGGGTGAACCGTTGGAAGAACCGAGCCCTGCGGCGCTTGGTGCCCTTCAGTGGCATGGATGAAGAGCAGGAAGCCATCTTCACAAGTGGCTCGTTTCAATGGAGAAAACCGATTTTTTTCGAAACATGATGAACAGATTACCCTCTGGTAAACTAGCATAGCTATGGAAAATGCCATAGTGGATTTACCTATTGAAAATTGTGATTTTCCATAGTTATGTTGGTTTACCAGAGCATAGCGGAATTTCTATGATTGCGCAATTTCTATTGGTTCTGAAAATGAGGCTACCATGGGCTAGCCCAGAATCATCCAAAAGTGTTTCTCATCAGTTCATCAATGGGAAGACCAATAGTTCGGGGTACCCATAATTGAGGAAACTCCAGATATTACTGTTTTAAATTCATTTAGGGTAAACATGTCTGGAGGCCAATGGAAACCGATGGAAACCGATTGATATGGATTGTTGTTTTTCTCCCTGGGAAAACGAAACGAATGTCTACACAGCATGATCTGCTTAAGATGATTGCTGAAACCATTCTCGTAACTTATCGAACAGGAATTAAATCAGTTTACAAGTTATGACCCTTAACTTATAAATGGGTCTATAATGATATACAACCTCAGCTATAGGAGTTATAATTCCACCTTTAGTTATTATAGCCCATCACTGTAGAAGCCAAGGAAAGCTGGGTGTGGGCTTTCAGACCATGTCCTTGAACCTCAATGCGACCATGCTCCCACAGCTCTTTGTGACGATGGGCGCTGCAGATATGCCCTTGATCCACGCCAAGCATCAGAAGGAGTTGCAGCATGTGTTGACATGTTTAAGTGTCGTGTTGATTGCAGTAAGGTATAAAATGTATGATATCATGATGATAGCATCATATGTGTACATATAACACTTTGAAATATGTATGATATACATTACTATGTAATCCATTTGCATCTTTATATATATTTATATAATTGCATTATATGATTTTATAGTATCACATATTATACATACTAATATTTCCTCAAACATCGAATCATGTCCCAGCTGTCTGGTCTTACTCAGGTGCAATGCCAAAAAAAGGTGGAAACTTGGGCAAATGATGATGAACCAACCCCACCAAAGATGAACCCCCCAGCAGAAGATGCTTGATGGTTTTTAAGATCTATACCCCATTGAATACCCTTTCTGCAGGAGATGACTTCAGAAGAATACGATGCTTCCTGGCAAGCCGAAGCGCAGGACGGCACGCGCGGCACGCGGGGACCTGGAATGAAGAGATGGAACTTCAATGGTGGTGGAGTTGTGCCACCTTCAGTTGTGCCATCCACAAAGAGATTGAGACATATTGACGGAATGCCCACTGTTATCTTGGAGGTTCGCATTGGGGCTGTTTGTTGAAGAACTGAGCTGAAGATGGGTAATCCACCACTTTGCAAGTTATTTTTTTACAGTCCAGATTTATGGGCCATGATTTGAATCAAAGCTCCGCTTTGGGAATCCTAAACCTTGAGCAATTCACTGCATGCACCTTGGAGGAAAGTGTCCTCTATTTCAACGATGGCGTTCTGAAATGCGCGAAATTGTTGGGAGGTGCCAACAGCAAAGGTAGCGGATGGTAGTCGAGGAGGTTTCTGATTTCTGCATCTGAAGATTCCACCAAAATGCGGTGTTTGGGGGTTGCCAGGTTGCCCATTTTTGCCAGTGAAATCAATCACCTTTTTTTTTCGGTGGAATCATCATTTTCTGAGTCCACCCTGGCCATCGTTCCCCCGTACAGGTGCCTTCGCTGCCACCACGCGCACCTCGGCCGGCGCCATTTGCGACGTGCGCGTCGTGGACTGCTGCAGCAGTGGTCGCGCCTTCGCGGTGTCGACGGCGCCGGAGCTGGAGAAGTTGCGCTGCATTTGCCAGAGCCACGAAAACAGTCGCTTCGGAGAAACGAATGCTGGGAAAAATGCTTGAGGAGAGATATATGTCCTAATATGTTACATGTATATTATCTATTATAATTATTATGCAGTATCTTTTGAAATATATATTGTATGGAAAGATAGTTCTTAGAAGATAAGAAAAGGTAAGGTCTGGTTAGGGTAGATAGATAGATTAGATAGATTAGATAGGTTAGATAGATTGGGATAGACTCATAGACTGGATAGATTGGATAGATTGTATAGATTGGGTAGACCGGATAGATAGGATAGATAGGATAGATAGGATAGATAGGATAGATAGGATAGATAGGATAGATAGAATAGATAGGATAGATAGGATAGTATCCTTAGGATACTGTGGACAAGACAGACAAGACAGACAGAATAGACAGGGCCGACAGGACAGGCAGGACAAGCAGGATAGGCTGGATAGATAATGATAGGATGGATAGGATACGATAGGATACGATAAGATAAAACAAACAATAATACTAAGTATAAACTGTATATATATGATCCCGGTCCCCGGTCCCGTAGCCCCCCCCTATGGTCCCCTACTCCCTGACCTAGAATCTTTCATGTCCATGTTATTTACACCATTTTGGATGCAAGACCTCATATTTCCATGGTATTTGCACCAGTTTGGATGGAGAACCTCGTTTTCCATGGTATGTACAGCATTTTGGATGCAAAACCTCATATTTCCAGGGTATTCGCAATATCTTGGTTCCAACAGTTTGGATCCAAGACTGTTCATGCCCACAGTATTTGGCATAGAAAATGACAGCATTGCATTGAATAATATTAAAAGCTGATATCACCTACTTATATACGAACTAAAGAGTATAGTTATATTACCTCTTTACTACCTATACTACCTACAGGACCACATCCACAGGGGGGAGGGGGAGAACCATGACCGTGGGGGGAGACTACCTACAGGACCCACCCAACTCCCACATCCACAGGGGGGAGGGGGGAACCATGAGTGAGGGGGAGGGGGGGGGTCCCCGAACCTGTACGTATATATTATATAATATATTATATATATTTTTAAAATTTGGATATATATATATATATATGTATGTATATGGTCATAGAGTCATAGACCATTGTTAAAATAGCCTTTCGGGAGAGACAATTTTTGGCCAACAAAGGCCTTTGGCCTATTCCATGGGTTGCTTTCTGTGGCTCAAATTTGTAGATACGAAAGGCTTTCACAGTGTTACGTTTCAAATATAGTTACCACACACAAGTTGGGAAAAGTAAGCTTATGATGCCATGATTGGAACTAGTGTCAAGCATATCAAAGTAGAGAAAGTTTGAAAGAAACAGGCCCGCTCCCCTTGACAACCCTGCAAAGCAGTTTGAATTTATTGGTGCTTTGTCCACGATTGCCACAATATAGGCAATTCTCCACCTACACCTGTAGAGCCGAGGTGGAAGCTCAATATTGAAAGTCCAAAGTTTGATTATATATGTCATAACTGGGTTAATTATTGGATTTCTATGTGTTTTCGAGAGGCGTGATTGGGAAATGATATTGCGAGCTCATATATGAGGAAAAAACAGCATTGCAACCCTTTGCAACCATGTTAAGTTGAAGCGGTGCCATGAATAGACCGTGAAAAAAACTGAAATACTGTGAAGTTTTCGTGAATGGCCATGTTTGGCTGTGAACAACCTCTTGTGAGCGTGAAAACCTTTCAAAATCATATCAAGATCGGCACAAAATCAATTCGTTCAAACGTGCCACAGGTTGATGTAGGTGGGACAGATGATGCAGCCAGTTTTGATGATCCACGGGCCGTAAAGTGTCATGTGTTGAGAAAACATAAAAATTACTTTACTTCGTGTGATCCCCACCATGACATTTATACATGTTCTTACTGGCACATCTTCTGGCATTCTATCTGACATATCTTCTGACATTCTATTTGGCATTCTATCTGGCATATCTTCTGGCATTCTATCTGGCAAATCTTCTGGCCTTCTATCTGGCATATCTTCTGGCATTCTATCTGGCAAATCTTCTGGCCTTCTATCTGGCATATCTTCTGGCATTCTATCTGACATATCTTATGGCATTCTATCTGGCATTCTATCTGGCATATCTTCTGGCATATATTCTGACATATCTTCTGGCATTCTATCTGGCATTCTATCTGGCATATCTTCTGGAATATCTTCTGGCATATCTATCTGGCATATCTTCTGGCATATTTTCTGGCATATTTTCTGGCATTATACCTGGCAAATCTTCTGGCACTCTATCTGACATTTTATCTTCCTACATGAGGTCCGGTAAAGGAAGGGAAGGCACTGGCTGTGATTAGCTATCGCGGTGAGGTCGTCGGCAGGGGAATCATCTGGGGGGCGTGGATGGTCGTGGTTGAGGTCCGGCAGGGAACACTGGGCGTGGATGGTCGTGGTTGAGGTCCGGCAGGGAACACTGGGCGTGGATGGTCGTGGTTGAGGTCCGGCAGGGAACACTGGGCGTGGATGGTCGTGGTTGAGGTCCGACAGAGAACACTGTGGATCGCGAGTCGCAGTTGAACAGGAGGACGAGGAGGACAACGAGAGGAGGAGGACAACGAGAGGAGGAGGAG